GAGAGAGAGAGAGAGAGAGAGAGAGAGAGAGAGAGAGAGAGAGAGAGAGAGAGAGACAAGAGGAGAGATGCGATGCGACGCGACTCGAGCCCGCTCGAATCCGTCCGCAAATAGATACAAACGATTCGACTCCTGACAGATAGGTCACCGGGTCAGATTAACTACCCCCAGTGCGCTCGAAAATAACGTCGCTTCGCATCATTCCGCTACGTGTGATTGCGCACACTCACGCACGCACATTACGTGCGTATGCGAGCATGCATTCGGTGTCCGCGCGACACTGCGAGGACGATAAAAGTTCAATGATCGACGACTACTACAGCAACGAGAACGGCTCGCTCGGAATTACGTTAGCGCAGGTCGTACCCCGAATACACACGTCAAGGACGATCCCCCGCGAGATCGAACGTCGAGAGTAACGGACGGACGGAGGGAGGGAGGGAGGGAGGGAAGCAGAAGCGAAAATGAATGGTGTGCTTCCACCGGTCACGAGTCTTCATGTCCATGATGGAGCGCAAAAGCTAACATAGCGTCTTGCACGAATTTAACGACATGCAAAAATTGCACACAATATATTATCGGCATACGGGTGGCGTGGCGCGGCGAAGCGCGACCAAACTGTCAGTACAATGTCTCGCGATAAAGAAAAAAGATACAAAATAATATACACATATACATAAGAAAAAAAATATATATATATGCATTATACCTGATGCGGCATACATAAAATCAAACAGATTGAAGCGGCTACACGACGAAAGATCCATGAGACGTTCTCGGCGAAGAGTTCGATGCGTCTTATGCGATACTAACGCGTCTTATGCGATACTAACGCATCTTATGCGATCATCCTAAGCGTTCTAGGTGTTTAGACGTTATCGTCGTTCCCCTTCCTCCAAGTGACTGAACATTAAAAACGCATTTATCTAATTGAAAAAATCGTCTACTGTCTGTTGTTATCTTAGAAGACGGCCGAAGAATCCATCGACGTTAACTCTTTATAGGCTACCAGTAATCTGCGAGTCCTAGACTTCCAAATAATATTTTATTCGTGGCATTAAGTCAAAAGATGAAAGATAGAGGGATTAGTTAATTTTTTAATATTTAAAATCCAAGATGACAACTCTAAAATTAAAAAATTAACAGATTTTGATGAAAATCTTTAGTTAGGGGTTTTTTGGCCGCTGAATACGAATCAGGACCTAGTTTAACAAAATTCAATACGACGAATCCAATATGGCGCTGATTGTAAGAATTATATTGCTGAACATCGTGCTGCAGTAAATGTTTCAGAAAGTAACAGTGAGGTGAATAATCCAAGAGTTCTAAATACAATCAGTCCTTTTCACGGCTCTATGATGTACTAAATCCGACCGAGCAACCTCCCTGCGGTGTACATCGGGTAACACGAATGCCGGCGGTAGCTGAGTAATTATACCTTACTCAAAATGCTACTTGATATGATTACTTGATATGCATTTAAAGCTCATAGGAAGCCCATTGCTTCCAACTGAACCTAATCTGATTTTTTAACAATTTAGGTGCCAAATTGGATTCTACTACAGATTTTCATCAAAATCTATTAATTTTTCAATTTTTCGGTTCGCTATTTTGGATCTTGAATATTAAAAAATTAACTATCTTTTATCTTTTGACTTAATGTCACGAATTAAAGTCTATTTAGAAGTCTAAGACTCCCAGATTACTGATGGCCTCTAATGGGTTAATTAACCAGTCTTCGTTTTGTCAAGATTCCACCGTGATTAGACTACTGCTTCCGGCTGAAAATTCTTTAAATATCAAAAGTAGCCAAAGTGGATAAGTAAGTTAAAAAAAGATTCTCTTCTCTATTAAATATATTTTTTTTCTAATGTGTAAATAGTTTCGAATTTTATATTCGATCATTTATTATTCGATCAACGCGACGCGACACAAGTGAAGTATTTTCTTTGTAAACTAATTATCAGCAGAATTAACTTTCGTCATAGTGTCTCATGACGTTGTTTTACGCGAAATTTGGCCTGTAAATTGCCCAACGATACGGTTCAAACATACGATATTATCCCACAACTTAGCATCTTAAATATCAAATAAGTGATCAGCAGCGTCTGTTGCTATGCCACTGATGCGCTCATATTAATTTATGAATCAGATCAGTAATGAATTGCATCTAACAAGTCGAAGTCAATGAAGCAAAGTAAAAAGTATATTCGTGTATCATGTAAAAACGGTGTATCTTAGAAAAAAAGATATTTTCCGCCTATTTATCGAGTCGTTCGATCATTAATCAAGATTTTTGGCAATGATGAGAAATCAACGCGACAATCAACGTGTTCAGATTGATGCATACCAACTCTCTTGCTGACTTTCGGCCAGCTGTTTGGCGCATATCCAACGGCCTGTTACCATCGAACCGTGTATATTACTATTTCTTAAATAATTAGATTACGCCAACATACAGGCGACGGATCAACGTCGATCGTACGAATCGATCGATCTCGTTGGATCCGCGACACCCGTGGAGAGATCGATTTATGATCGCACCAAAGTACCGTTTACGGAAGAGTATTCGCCGAAGGACGAGGAATCTTACACAGAGAATTAGCAGTTGGACAAATTTCTTCATTCGTACTCGACGACGACATTACTACCACTCTCGATGCTTTAACATGCCGTGGAGGGGACGTTATCGCGCTCTTTTCTACTTACGGGAGTTAGATGTGATTACGCGGAACTGAGGCTGTAATTGTTGTGTCGCCTGTTGTTGTTGCTGATGATGCTGGATTTGGGTGAGATTGAGCGGTAACGGATGATGCGGGCCTCCCGGCGATGGCAGCGGCGGTTGCTGTTGCTGGTGGTGCACCGCATGATGCATACCATGGTGATTATGCGCTTGCTGCGCACTTGCTGGGTGTGCGGTCGCAATGTGCGGATGATGGTGAGTGGTGTTACACGGAGGCAATATGGAATGCCCTACGCCGATGGGTCCTACCCCGACGGCGACACCCACTGGGCTATCTTTTGAGACGCCATATCTCGCCATCCTGACTGGTGGATAGGACTTGCTTTTGTAAACTCTCAATTGATGGCTCACTGGCGGGAAGAAATTTCACACGGTTGATCACACGATTTTACACAGTTAGAGATCGATTCGAGAATGACTCCTCGAACTCTGTTAAGTGTATATTTTATAAATCGTCGTATGCTTCACGAAGACGAGACGAATCTGCGATTCGCACCGCGTGAATCGCGCGAATCGCGAATCTAAACTCACTCTTTCTTTGCTGTCCTTGATTATTGACAATTCTTCAATTGTACAACTTTTCTTCAACTGATAACTCTTCAATTTTATTTCGATCGGCGTGGATTAGAGCGGATGCAGGTGAATAGTTTTTTTTTTTTTTTTTCTTTTGATCTTTCCCCGTGAAATCGAAGACAACGAAGGAGAAGAGGTGCGTTCTTTTCTCTTTTTCTCTGTGTTATGTTACGACGTTGGACGACAACCAACGCACCTTTGCGATCCGTCAACTTAATCGACAATGGCGCGCCATTTCAGTACACCCAATGAATTCGACAGTCTCACGAGCGAAATAGCAAGCACACGTGGTTGCGCCCAATCGACATTTTCACCGAGGTCACAGGAGTTACGGATCAAGAGCGCCCCCGGATAGCCGTACGTCCGAACGACGTGGAAGAGAACGACGTGCAGCGTGTCTTGACGATGATGATATATACCCCGGCGAACAGAGGCGAGGAAAACTCACGTCGCGTGTACTCACTTGATCGTATATACACTCGTGGTGTAGGCGTCGTGAGCAGACTAGTAGCCGCGGCGTACGGACCGACTATTGCGGCTCGTCCGTGCCAAAATCGATATTTAAGGCTCCACCGGCGTCGTCTCTCTCTCTTTCGTGTCGCCCACTCCCGCTGTTATGGGAAACCCCGTCGTATACACGAAGCATAAGCAACTCGATTTTCCAACAGGATAGCGCACGACGCGCAGGACGCCCGGCAGGAAGACCGGCCGGGCATCAGCCCTGTACACGCGAAAGCGTACACAATTTTTAGTCGTCGCCTTGCACCGCGAGATCGGACTCTCTCGCGCGGTGGAGCTACTGTGTCTCGCGTACGACGCGACGATCGGAAGCACTCGGTTACGCGCCGAAAAGTACCGAGCGCGCCAACTGTCGTGCAAAAGTGTGTATACTATCCGCGATCAGCGCGCGCGAGTGTATGCTAAATAATCACTAGAATTTATACAAATTAATTGCTCAACTATTTTACAACCAGTAAAGAAAATTATGACTAAATAAATTAGTAAATAGTAAGAGTAAACTAATTTTTTTCCTATTAATTTTAGACGCAGCGAATGAGGTAGATGTTACACGAGAACTACAAGTAAAAAATATGAAGAAAAATATAAGAAATATAATAAAAACGTATAATACTATCCGCGTTTCGCGAATGACGCGCGTAAGTGTATGCTAAATAATCACTAGAATTTACACAAATTAATTGCTAAGGTAAACTATATCACTACCAATAAACCAAATTACGATTAAGCGAAAAAAACTAATTAGAAAAATAAATAAGACGCGGTGAACGCGGTAGATAACACACACACACACACACACACGAGGGTTGCGAGTGAGAAAATATACAGTGAGGAAACGATAGTACGCCGCCGCACGAAGGCGAAGGCGAAAACGTTCGACGAAGTACACTATTCTTCTTACAGGCGAGCACAGGTATAGTCGTTTCCCAGCACACACGATGAACGAGAAACCGGGGTAGCTGATGCTTCTCTGCTAGCTCTGGATTCCACTACTACTGGTGAGTCGGCACTAAATGCGACGGCTATGCAAACTCAAAACTGAAAGTGCTTTCTTGAGCTCACAAGAACACTGATTCCAGTAAACTTGAAGTTTCTCAAGTGAATGCTACGACGAAACTGCACCTCTTTTTATCTGCGTCCCTTCGGAAAGGGACGCGCCGAAAGACTGACCGAAGGAGCCAATCCTACCGTGCAACCCACGAATCACGGAGAGCGACGTTAACGCCCTCGGCCGGTGTCCCTGCACAAGCCGAGGACGCCCAGGCGCGTACCTATCCCCGAAACCCCTCCCTTCCTTCCTTCCTTCTTTTCGAATTTGGGATTTGGGAGGCTGGCTTTTCACAAAACAGGGAATTTCGACCTTGGCTTTCGCTTGTTCCAAACGTCAATTTCCAACTGATTCGTCTCGCTTCCTCCACATTTCTCATCACCGTACACTTTCATCCAAATCAAGGATACCACGTAGATTTCACTTCTAGCATTTTTTTTTAAATTGTCTCTTTTTCTTTTTTCATTCGTTATTTTATTGTTCAAAATATTAAAATATAATAAAAACTTTCAAATTTAACTTTTATATTCAACATCTGTATACTGACTTTGTCAAAGTGATCTCAAAATAATCAAGTATTGAGACAGAAAATACCGCATATTTCCCATGTTTGCAACTGAAAGAATACGTCGGAGTAATTAATTACTTGTCTTAATACGCAATACACACTGCACGCATTTGCCGTTATTTACGGCGTGCATACACTTTACATCAGTTTTTCGTCGAGTTTTATGCACCAAACTCAATTCGCATTATCGTTATCAGAGGAAACAGATCTAATTGACTAAAATTTCTCGTTAATTCGCCCGATATACATCGTATCGAACAAAACATTTTAAGTCGAGTCTGAACAAGTGCTTTATAAGCGAAAAATTTCGCACATTAAATTTCTCTCTTTGACCACAAAAAAGCATAAAAGAGTCTGTGAAATAAGACTTTATCGATATGAGCCCTTGTCCACAACCTTTCTTTAAGACGTAAGCCGTAAGAAATTAATCAACACAGTTGATTCTTAGAAGAATAATCGACTGGTTGGTCAATTTCTTACGGGTTACGTCTTAAATCAAAGGTTGTGGACAAGGACTGATATAACGCGATGTTCCCTTAACACGTGCTGTATCACAAACAAAAAAAGCAGTTATTATTTTAAAAACAAATTATCCGACAATAAACCGATTGCTATCGTTAACTCATCTCAATAACGGTCAATGTCGATATATCGATGCAAATTGCGGGGCGCGACGTTTCATCGATTCGTTCCCTGCTGACGGATGTACAGCAAACAGCGTGAGAAGAAAAATACAGCTTTATTTGCCGAAAGAAATACACGTCGAATCGAGTCGCACGGAAATTGCGACAGATACAGAGAGCGCAATAACGTCCTTGCACTTGTTCCAACGATTTCTCGTATCCAAAGATACGAGCCATATCTCAGGCACGTAGAGCGTCACGTAAATAATAAATCGCCATTTATACGAGCCTTAAGGAGAGGCGTCGAACGCCGATGGCATCATTGTCCGTATGCGCGCAATGGACAATGGTGATTAGTAGTACGCAGGCGCAGGGATGTCGCGCTCTCGCAACCCTTGATCGCGTGAACGCGCTGCGGATGCGGCACCTACAGCATCCTCTACCCCATAAAGAGCCGATCTGAACCCTCAGTTGCACAGTTACACGGGGAGTATATTCGCGAGGAAATCACGAGTGCGAATAAATAAAAATGACGCTTCGTTCGACACGAATCCACGCGAAAATGCGAGCACGTGTCATCCAAATACATTACACTGAACGTTGATAGGCTCTCATCTCAAAAAAATCTCAGTGCAATCGAATCGGAACCAACTGAAAATTAAGTGATCAGAAGCAATATCTCTGTTATAAAAACTAATATTTCTGTTGTCGCAACCGAAAATATTCGTCTGAACATTCAGCGATATTAGCGATTATTCGGTTGAAGCGCAACTGAGAACAATTGACTATACAAAAACTTCATAAAGGAATTTTTCTGTTCCTACAGCCGAGTTTTCGTCTAATCCCTGAGCAACCGAAAATTTGGTTGCATCAACGGAATTATTTTTCCGTGGTAACTTAAATCATCGAAGCTGCGTTTCCTCGTCTCGATCATTTCAATTACTCACTTCAATTATTCAATCACGATAACATATGAGAACATTTCGAGGTCCGTGAAGTTGATATCGCCAAATGCGAATTTTTATAAAAATAAAGCCATTATTCGTTTCTCCACGATTAGTCCACGTTTGTCTATACATAATTTTCATATGTCTACTCAACGAAACAAAATTCTTAACAAAATAAAGATAAATAAATAAACATGTTTATAAGCTTCTTTGAGCATGTTTTACTATAAATTGTATATTGGAATCGATTGTTCATGATTTGTCTACGTTTAATTCTCGCTTATCCACTCAACGAAACAAAATTCTTAACAGAAGAAAAACAAAAGATAAACAAATATGCTCACGAGCTTCTCTGAGCATATTTGTTACACAATAATTTTTTGTCTTTATTTTGTTAAAAAATTTATTCCATTGGATGGACAAACAAAAATTATGTATGAACGTAGATAAACGAACAATGAAGTCTTTGTTTTATAAAAATTCGCATTTGGCGATACTAGCTTCACAGATCTAACATTTCGTGTCACTATTTTTTATTGTGAGTGGACAGACTTAAGTAACGTGTATTAGTTAGCATAACGTGCTCTGCTGTTGAGAGATACCTTATTTTGTGTAATAAAAGTAATTTTTATGAATGAGATGATAGGAATCAACTGCATGGACGCGGATGGAATCAAATAAAAATTATTATATTCTGGCTAACGAAATAAATTCATAAATTTACATAAAGAACAAAGGGCGTGTTGTTTACGATACACGTGTTCATACTTCGAAAAAATATAAGAATCGTTCTTGCAAAGCGTGGAAACCAGGAAGTTTGTCATCTTTATGCAATCGATTATTTGTTGAAAAATCCTACCGAGATTCGGAAAAGGCTATCATCTCGCTTCGATCTCTTCGGCTAGTGTCATTCTCGTCATTATTTGTCGACGACAGGCGCGAAGGAACCAGGAAGCTGAGAACGTTTCTTTCTTACGGCGCTCGCGCGGCCGCGAGATGCGGTAACGAGAAAGTGCAAGTGCAGGTGTACAGAGAGCCACCGCGATTCACGAGGATGCAACGAGCGCGAATA